AGATTTTGACCAAATTTGGTCAGAAGCATCGTTGGGGGAAGGGGAACAAATTTTGTATAAAGGGTGGGAGATATATCGAAATTCTTTTGATTGCTTCTCCTTCTGTAGGAATGAAAGGATTTGATCCATGTTTGGTCAGAAGCATCCTTGGGGGAAGAGGAACCAATTTTGTATAAACCCTGGGTCTGGCCCCCCAGGGGCCTGAGGTGTGAGGCCCAATACGGTAAACATAGCAAATTCTTCTTTTAAAATTCTTCTTATTCAGTAGGAATGAAAAGATTTGGTCCATATTTGGTGTGGGTCATCCTTGGGTGAAGGGGAACCAATTTTGTATAAACGGTGGGTGTAGCCCCCCTGGGGGCTGAGGGGCGGCGCCTAATAGGGGAAATATAGCAAATTCTTTAAAATCCCTCTTATTCTCTAGGAAAGAAAAGATTTGTTCCATATTTGGTCAGACGCATCCTTGGGAGAAGGGGAACCAATTTTGTATAAACCATAGGTCTGAAAAAAAGAAAGATGCCCAGCCTCTCAGCCCCAAGGGGGACCACACCCATCATTTATACAAAATTTGTTCCCCTTCCCACAAGGATGCTTCTGACCAAATTTGGTCAAATCTGCTCAGTCGTTCATGACTAGTAGCGTTTTAAAGGAAAAGTTGACGGACGGACGACGAACGCTGCGGTTTGGCATAAGCCTTCGGACCAGGTGAGCTAAAAATGTAGGAGATTGCCGGACAAAAATCAAATTACTGAAATAAACAAAGGGCAATAACTTTTGCAAAAATCGTTGAATCAAAATTCTTTTAAGGGAGACACAACTTCATATCATGATTATAATGTATACCAAGTTTCAAAGAGATCTGTTGAAAAATGGAGGAGATCTCCGGACAAAAAATCAAATACTGAAATGAACAAAGGGCAATTACTTTAAAAGAAATTGTTGAATCAAAATTCTTTTAAGGGAGACATAACTTCATATCATGATTATAATATATACCAAGTTTCAAAGAGATCGGTCGAAAAATGTAGGAGGAGATTGCCGGAAAAACAAATGTTTACGCTGGACGGACAACCCCTTACCATAATACTTCCGTCAAATTTAACAGGCGTATGAAAACTGAAGCTAAACTCGAAGTTGAGCAAAAACTGCACATAATGAATTGGCATATTGCACTGTGATGAAACTTTGTATTCCTTCAGCTAGTGGAGTAAAGTGTCGTAAAGTGTTGCTTTTCACAACATCCCGAACTTTTCTGAGCAATTTTCATGTATTTTCTTGTTACATTTAATAATCACAAAAAAGTTTCTGTATTTTTGGAATTTATTTAGTAATTGTAACATTGACATATTTGATTTACATAATTATAATCAGGTAACATCTACACAAATGAATTATATGACTGCTCTTCCACAGGTACACCAATCATTTACAAATACCATAGAAACTGATCCCACACTTCTGTGCCATGCTTACAGTGTCGTAGTCAATAGAAACTGATCCCACACTTCTGTGCCGTGCTTACAGTGTCGTAGTCAATAGAAACTGATCCCACACTTCTGTGCCGTGCTTACAGTGTCGTAGTCAATAGAAACTGATCCCACACTTCTGTGCCGTGCTTACAGTGTCGTAGTCAATAGAAACTGATCCCACACTTCTGTGCTGGCTAAGTGTCGTATTATAGTAGTCATCTTATCTGTATTTCTTTCATTAAGCATGAAAAATAGAATGTGTTTCTCTGGTAAAATACCAAATTTTCCAAAATGATTGACAATACAATTTTACATGGTATTGGGAATATTTCTGAGTATTGTAAAGCTCCAATGATTAATATTGCACCCCAAGAGGAACTAGAGCCTTTTTCCCCAAACAATTTCACTTGTATATTTACTTCGTTGTGAGGGGTTTCTTCATATCAGATAAACTTCTCCGACTGATGTAGACACTAGTGTTTGATGAAAACAAAGGATCTGTTTCTCCCATTTCATTATTCAACATGTATCATGATTATCAATTCCCTGTCATAATAAGCACATCCAATTGCTAGAAAGATTGGCAAAATTTTCCTGGTACACGATTTTGAAATTTTAGGTTCATTTCTTTCACAAGCTTTTAGCCTGCAAGTATAGAATTCATGTACGAAATCTTGTTATGAACATTTTATTTTGATATTTCTCAACTACGAAATAAGAATAAAACAATCTCATACTGCTACGATACAGAAGGCAAAGAGACATATGACACAGTCACACAGCATTAGTGGACATCGTAGTGATGGAGGATTCCAACCAAACTTGCCTACTGAAAAAACTTTTTTGTTTTATGTCAATCCTTACTGTTTACTTCTCAAAGATTATTACACAAATTGACGTCACTGTAAGGAAACATTTCCTTTTGATGCAATATTTTTTTTTTATTCAACATCAGACATCTGAACGTACATGGGCGAGTTATAGAAAAAAGGGTCGGTGCAAAATACTTTAAACATGCAATACACATATCTCCCATACAATTAAAATCTTTTTCACTTAAGTTTCATGGTTTCATACAGAATCACAAGATTCACAGTTCTTCAAGACCATTTAAGGACATAATCATCATCATGTGTATGAATTATGGTGGAATATATACAGGGTAACTCCACTACCAATGTATTTCAACAAAATATACAACATGACTAAAGAGATATTCCAACTTTTGGTTGTTATTGTTGCCTCATGATATTTTTCCACTTCATTGTGGCCAGGATGTTCGACAACCTGCTGGCAGTTAAATATGCTACAGAACCTGGATTCACAAAGAAATGACTTTTTATAATTTACTGAGGATTTTTGTAGTTTGCTGATGTATCCAAAATATTAAATATTGCTTATCTATTTGTGTATAGCAACTATGGACAACGATTTCATCCAAACCTACAACATTAATGTGAATAAAAAAAAGGAATAACCAATTAAACAAGACAACCCTCTACCACTATGTATCCTGTAACTGCACATGTACACACCAAATGAAATTGAAAACAAATAATGAAAATCTGCTGTCAATTTTATCAACCAACTACAGATTTCTCAAAACATCTCCTTCACATAGAAAGAAACGAATGATGGAAAATGTTACATTTTATTTTCCTAAAAAGAAAAAACGTTCCAATCAATCGTGAAACAGGGGCAATTTAAAGAAAACAATTACAATTTGAATTCTAAATGAACAGTAGATTTGTAATATAACTTTGGTTTATACTGTATATTTTATTATTTTTTATCAAAAGAACTATATGAACATATTCATATCTTCCTATATACGTTTTATATATGACATTGTCACACACTGTTAAACATACAGACTGTGATTTTATCTTGTGTTGACTACGGGTACGGCTTACCTGCTCGAATCTACAACATATGTACTGTGAAGCGAGATCCCTTTTATATATTTTACAGACTTTCAATCACTTGCATATCTGATTAAGAAATTAGGCTCATATTCAAACAAGCATACAACTTCATACAATGATAATCTTGACCCCTTTTATTCCTATTCATTAACAATGCTAATATTCCTTGAAAAGATGTTATTCTATTGATGTGTTGCAACAATAAATTGGTCCGAGAGACAACTATAACAACAAATCAAGCTATCCAATCAAATTAGAAAGAATTACGGTTGACGTTACCGCTTCATGTACACTTCTGAAACGAAACAAACCTGCCCCCTTTTATAGCATAGGCGGAATGGTCAGTCCCTGAAGACAGGTCCTACTGTGTTAGTTTCCGGATAACTCTTATTCTTATTAACTTAAATAATCTACAATAGATATAGGTTACAATTTCGTATATAAATCACTTCTGTGAAATAACTGTGACAGTGTATTAATTACATTATCAGTACCCAATCTTTACAACATTACATTGTCTATACATTATGCACATACATTACATTTTGTCAACATGTGCACTTCATTCGTTCTTATTCACTTAAATAGCCATGCAGACACAAATTGTCAACCAAAATCATTTTCACACAATGCTTAATTCATGATACATGAATTGAAATATAATAACTTGGAACGTGTGAAATACTTTATGAAACTGTAATTTGCATAATTACAGGACCATATATGAACTATCAAGACTTGTTGACAAAAGAAGGAAGGGCTTATCCAGATTTCACCATATGGCAGACACTTTTTTAAAAAGAATGGGTGGTTGGGTAGCTCAGACTCCATTTAATACTGAAATCTGCTGTAAGTTTGACAGGCGATCAGATCTCTGAAAAATGTGTTCATTCCTCTCATATGATTTAAAACCACTCAATGTCTATCGTTTCCAAATAAATTTCCTCATGATCAAAGTGCATGAAATCTCAAACCACTTTCTCAAAACTTTCTTTTTATCTTGTGATCACAACAATTTGCATCATAGAAGATGTCTGTATTGAAATACAATGACACATATAATCGTACATATACAATGTATCAAATTCACTGCACCAGATACCCGGACAGTTAACCACAATCAAAGCTGTTAACAATGTCAAAAATGTTACAATAACATCGAACAGAAGATCTAAGATCTAAAAGGTTCACAAGATACTTGGTATCATTGTGAGGACTGCTCAACACTCAGAGAATTCCAAATTAAAGTAATGCCAGTTAATTCACATATGACCATGTAGACTGTATTTACTTGATTCTACTTTGTATTTAACACAAATCCAGACATAAGTGCAAAACAATACTACTAAATCATGTACATATTTATCTAGACAATTAAAACAAGCAAGGTAGTACCAGCATGCCTCCTGGTGAACAAGGTCTGATTTCAAATCAGCAAGGTAGTATGTACCAGCATGCCTCCTGGGGCCTGTTCGTTTATGTGTAACAACAGGTTTGACCGTTTATAAATGTAACAATTTCGGGTATAAATCCTGGCGGACCTGCAAATGTTTATGCAAGCCTTGCAAGGCTTTGTCAAGGCTCGCCTGAAAGCAGCATCAGATTACTAAGTCCGACCTTATTTAATAAACGAACAACAGGGGTCCGACCGGTTTGACCGTTTAAACGAAAACGGCCCTGGTGAACAGGGTCAGATTTCAAATCATTATTGTTTTCGTCAATGTAATTTTTTAGCTCGGTAAAAATGGTTCTGATGGTCGGAAAGGAATGAATAGACTACTATAGCGTTACAATAAAAACTATGTTCTTGCATCCACAATTATATATGGTGATGTTTTAAATCTCTTTAGATTTTCGTGGAATCTATCTTTTCAAATAATGACACTGGATTTCCCTTCAAAATGAAAATAAATACCCGTACAAAATGTATCCCAAGTGATAATTCCAAACATCTTCAAATTTACATCTGATGTTTGATTGGTCCTCAAAGGAATTAACCTCTCAGTGAAAATAAACTAGGATCCCATATCTCACAGCTATCTAATAACTTGTTTAAAGATATAGTGCTACATCATTTCAAGAAGATTTTAGGGTTGTTTTTTTGGGTGTAAATGATATGTAATAATTCCGGTATATTGGGTGTAACATAAGCTCTACAACTGACAAGAATTGATATCCAACAAACAATAAACTACAGCAACTTCCACAGGAGTGTTGGTGCAATATTGGAATATCATAGCTTTCTTGATCAAGGCCACACAATAGCTTTATCAATACTTGATGGACAGAAAAAAAGCTACGCTAGGCTAGTTCTTTGAACACATAATTTAATTAGCACTTGATATAATAAATAACGACAAAGAAACACTTACAATGAAATTCTACCTTTAAATAACATATTTTGTCATACAGACAAGGCCAAATTATAAATATGAATGTTTTCAGTAAGCAACCATGCCAAACTCAACCTAAAGTGGCTATCCACAATTTTAGACAAGATATTTCATGTCCTCCAAAACAATTTCTGGTCGAACATATATCTTTAATACATTTAATGCAAAAAAACAAGTCTTGTGGTACTACCTATGGACATTAAGTTTTAAACAAGGTACTGTAAAAACCCGTCATTTAGTTTGGTCTAACAATACTACTTGCCCCTATCTGGTAATAACTGTATCACTATTTAAATAGGTAGCACTTTTAAAAAGTTGTTACATTATCACGAACAGTGAGTACAAAGATACTCCAAGTGAATGTCAAACAAAACAACAGCCCTCCTAATAATAGCACTATCAATATAACAAATACCTGTAAACATTTAGGACCTCAGAGGATGGCGGCTCATTTCATGTTTCAAGTTTTAAGTGTGGTTTTTTTATGAAAGTATCAAAAAAGTCTGATGGAACAGGAACAGGAACAAGTTTAAGTTTTTTCTAAGAAATGTTCCACCAAAGCATGTTTAATTTACATTTTCTAACTATTAGACTGGGAAAATCAAAGGAAAACACCACCAGTTTAGCGGTCACAGCGAATTGTGAGGTGATCATATTGTTCCCTGCGATGTTGATCAAGATTATCAACATCGCAGGGAACAATATGATCACCTCACAATTCGCTGTACCATACATGATGCATGTTTCATATAGAAAACTTGTGTACAGTTTCACTGACTATCAGCCAGAGGATAAAGTCTACATTTTCATTTATTTTTCGAAATATTTTACATTGATAAAGTCTTCAAATTCTTTGTACTTAGATTTTCCCTCAAAATCTTAGAACTTTTAATGTGTTGAATTCTGTACATAATTCATGACCCTTAATTTAGAAAGTATCTGTGAGTGTACACACAGAAGTGTAAATCTAATTCTGAAAGTGAAAACAGAACACAAGACTACCACCAGTTAATGGGACCGTCTTCTCCTAAAGGAAAACTTGTTGTCCGAGACAAGGTGGACAAATACCAATAAATCCTTTCAATAGTGTAGAACCACATACTTCTAAACCAATACACCATCATTAACAGCAAGTACAAAGCTATTTCATGTGAGTGATAAGACCACCTGGAATACATTTTAACAAAAAACTCAAAAAGCATTCATTATGATAGCACTATCAAAATAAGAAGTACTTGTAATACACATGTTATCACATGTTGACAATTACAGTTTCCCTTTGATTTTCTCAAATTGAAAAAAAGCATTATATCTAGTATCAATACGTGAAATGAATTAAGGAATACCTTATTAGTGAAAGTGTCGCATGGAAAGTCTTAAAAACATCTTTAGACTTGGTACTTGTTTTGATAGAAAGATGAAAGATATGACAGATACATAACATTAATCAGTGGAATGAATTATCACACGATCAGCTGGTTAAGATAAACTTTGAGACTACTTTTGTTGTAGAAAAATAAGTCTAGTGACTCCCAACAATTAACTGAGCTTGATAGTAAAGTCGTCTGCTATATTCATTCCTGGTTTTCTTACTGTCACCGTCTTTGTTTTTGAATCATAAACTGTATCCAAAGACATGATGGTATTTTTTCCTACAACAACAAGAGCACAGCATAAATCAAACATGATATATCAAATTTGTAATGGCCCATCTACACAAAATCATCCCATATAGCTAAGCAATTAATTCAAGGGAGATAATTTGATGTTAAAAGAGGGAGACAAAATTACTGTTTTAATAGGATTTTTTTTTTTGATTTTTTGATTGTCAGTCTGTAATTTTATGCACTTGTATATATAGCTGAAATTTGGAACAACTTTCATACTTATGCTGGATAACCGAAATGCGCGGTAGTGAAGCCGACGTAAAACCTATCAATCAATCAATCAATCAATAACCTTCATCAGATTAACTTAAGCAACCATAAATAGTTCAAAAGCGATTTAGTAGGAACATATTTTTGCATCTGAAAATCTTCATGAATGAAAAGACTTTTTTCAACAACAATGTAGTATATATCTCCAATATGAAAATATTTAGAGAAATGTTTTCTGCAGTTCTTAACATATATATATCTTATCTGTGTGTTTTGTATATAAAATTGAAAAATGTTCTTATGCAGAGTTATTTCCGCTTTGCTGGACAGTGACATCATACATGAAGATGAAACCTTCACTTGAGACAGTAAACTTCAGATCACGTACCTGATTGTAAAGTGGCAGCGTTTGGTTTTTGTGGGTAGCCTATAATAACAATTCTTTCTATCCACTCTTTGGTGTCTAATTTACCACTTTGAACTGCAGAACTGAAAAGGAAAGGATAAAGTTGTGAAGAAGTGATACATTAATATCTGAAACATGAAAAGGCTCCTAAATTAAGCAGTCTAAAAATAGATAAGGATCGTTGCAGGAGGTTTGCCACTAGTCATAAACTAAAACTTGCATACACTGGTAGCCTACTGTATATATATATACACATACACTTGAACTGTACCTTCAACTAGGTTCCACTGTATATACAAAACACAACTTTCAAATATACACCATATCCTCAACGAAGTCCCACTGTGTACATAAATCAACAGTACACTCAATTAAGTCCCATAGAATATACAAATCAACCTTTCTTTTCTTTTTAAATTGATCCTTTCTTTCTGAAAAATCTGCCCATTATACCTTTCGCTGAAAAACCTATCCATCAAAATCTTAATGCAGAACAAGTCGGAAATAGCTTCAATTTTATATGTTTCAGGGAACTTTATATCATAAATGAATTACTATTTCAGAAAACTTACCTGCTTTCAAAAACTTTATTTTTAAATGTGAGCTTCTTGAGGATAAATTTACCACTCCTGTACTGGTATGAGTCGTATTCGTCAACATACACATCTCCTTCAGCAGCACCCTATGGGAAACATTTAACATTACAAATTAATATTATCCTAAATGTTATAATAAGCCTAGAAAAAGAACTATCACTACCAAATATTTCTTCATATTTAGAATATAAAATATACCATTGTCATTCCATACAAAGAAAAATCCACAAAAAAATGCATTTTCAAAATTTCTTCAAAAGTGAGATTAAATAAAACTGCCATTTACATTTTTGTCCAAACAAATGATCAATGTGAATGGATCATAGTGCATGAGTCCTGAGGAACGTCGTTCTCTCATTTTTCGTGGAATGATAGATCCCCCTCTTTGGAATACTGGTATCTTCTCCAGTGGGGCATTGACGTAATGAGATTCTTTACCATTGTAGGTCTCCTGGGTTAGAATATCATACCAAATCTACAAAAAAATAGGGAAATAAAGAGATAAAATGAAATATGCAAACATTTCAATCCCAATAGACTGAAAACTTCAAATCAAACTCTCTGAGATTTTGTGAGGCTGAATTAATGCTTCTCTAGTGTAATGTTGAAATATACAATTGATTATCAATTTTTGTTTTTATTTTCAAAACATCTCAACTATCTGTACTTAAATGAATCCTTGATCCCATGTTGTTCTTTTCAAGGTTCTAAATCTCCGATATATCATCAGCTACACTCCAAACCACTGGAGTCTTTGTAAGAATGTAATGAGAGGTCGGTATATATTTTTTATGTGTTGGTAGTGACCCCTAGATAACCTTTACCTCATCTTGTCCTGGGAAGTAGACGGATGTTCCAGTCCCTCCTGCTTCTGTTATGGGTTTCACCAAAAGGCTTGATCCTGGGAAAAACAGTCATCAGTAATATAGTCATGTGATATTAGATCGCACTGTCAGTTAATGATATTTCAAAAATAATCAACATAACATTCTATTTAAAGAAAAAGTTCTTTTTTTTACCATTACATAGGTATACATCCCATATATAGTTACCTCCAGTAGAGCATGTGATCACTAAAAATATGGAGCATTTGGAACAGTGTTCATAGATAGATCAATTGCCAACTGTTAAACTATAGTTTTTAATTTGACAAATAGAAACTATTCCTATTCCACATAGTCCATACTTACCCACTAAAAACTGGTCATCCATTTGGAATGTAGATTTATCCTCTGGATATGCGACCCACATTGGCATCATCAACGGTCCACCATCACGCTCACCGAAGTAAAACAGAGTATACCAGTAGGGCAGGAAGGTGTAGCGGGTACGGATGGCATCACGAGATATCTTCATCTGTTTCTCCTCCAATAAGTAGGGTTCTCTCCTCTTGGTGTCTAAGTGAGCATGGGCTCGGAAAAATGGCTGGAAGGATGCAGCCTGAATGCAGAGGGAACCAGAAGAGATTTCAGAGCGGTGTTAATTCAGATCATTTTTTATATAAAAGAGCTGTTCCGTGTGAAGGTTTCAGTTAATGTTAGCATAAGCAATAACGTTAAAATTTAGCAAAATTACTAAACCTTGTAAAACAACTGAGGAGGTCTTGGTGGCAAACAACACTGTTTCTACCAGCTCAAAAGGAAACATTATCTTGAGCCTTTTAAATGGAAAATGAATAACACAATGTGCTTTTGAAAAAGCCCATTGTGAGTTCCCATTAAAAATTACAGCACAACAGGTATGAATGCCAGAATAACTGATGGAGTTGTGCTTAGTTACACTGAGAAATGGTACTACTTCTTGTGACATACCTGGTACCATCTGACAATTAGCTCAGGCTCTGGGTTTCTGAAGAATCCCCCTACGTCAGCCCCTGAGAATGTGATGCCCACCAAGTTGAGGGATAGGATCATGGGATTGGAGATCTTGAGGTGAGACCATTCGCCCATATTGTCTCCCGTCCATATAGCTCCTACAACATAATTTCACGTTCGTTGCATTTTGTTACATTCAAACACTCAATTTTAAAGGGATACCAGAATGTTGTGTCTGGTCCTTGAATTAAGATTGATAACATGGATTTCTCAAGGTTGTTCAGACTGGCTGCCTTTTTGAAAACATCCCTTCATTTTAAACAAAAAGTAACCAGTCACAAAGAACTTTAAATTTCCTTTTATTGTCCAATTGTGACATCAGGCTTATGAAATAGGTGTAAGATGGACATTTCTTTAGCTCTATCATACATACAGAAGAATGAAAGAAAAACTGTTACAAGAGAGAAAGGAAAAGCTGACAAAAACAAAAAATTCCTAGTGTTAATAAAATTATTTTGCTGGTTAAAGTGAAACTATTCCTGCAGCGAAAGAAAAATGCTATATTTGTTGAGGCATTTTGCTTTAATTTTTCATGCTGTAAAATGATGCCCTATCTCTTTTCCCTTGACCATCTTTTCCTGTACATACCAGATCTTTGAGATCCAGCGAAGAAAGCCCGGGACAATACGAATGGTCGCTGCTGATTGTTCGATCTCAGCTTGATACCTTCTCCTGTGGCATGGTGCTAATTCATAAAGCAGAATATTTTAAACAACATATCCTTTTTTATAATTATATACAATTACTGTATTAATATTAACATTTTCATTCCTATTAATCAGTATCAAACATAAAGATAAGCAGATACATTTTCTATGGATCTACAGGAAACTTTTACAATTTTGTTCATTCCCTTAAGACATGCAAACTATAAGCTGCAGGACAAATCGAAATTAACATGGGTGAAGAAGTATTAAATATAGAAATATTTTTTTAACAATCGGTAAAATGGAGTTAAGGTCAAGCTATGTAATACAACATTTCACATCGCAGTTACAATACCTGGTTCTGTATCGGAGTATGGCAGCGTAGAACTAGGTGTTTGACACATAGAAATACTTACCACATACATCCCATACAGATTGTGGATATCTCTATTCTCCCAATCTCCGAAATGTTTGACATCTTTGTGGAAGGTGATTTCTGGTCCATTGAATACGGACGGTTCATTCATGTCATTCCAGATGTACAGATCAGGTGTACTTCCCTTGTACTGATCGTAGGCAAATTTACCTGCCCACCATTTCCTGATATCTGGGTTTAGGAAATCAGGCCAAATAGAGGAACCTGTAACATAACAAAGGTTTAGTCAATAAAAAATACAAAACGAAAACTCTGGTTTACTATTTCTGCAGAATAATGAAATAGACATTGTCACTTAAAAGGAAATCAAATAATGTTTTGACTATCCCAGATTATCCCAGTCAGGGTTAACCTTCTTCAAATGTACTGTACAATATATGTACGGTCGACCAAGAACATGTATCCCTTTAGACAAATAAACTTGATTTATTTTACAACAATTATGAAACAAGTTATATCAACTTATATTAATCACTCTCGCAGACCTGGATGCTAGTGTGCAGGGGTCTTAATGTGGGAAGAAACTGTTACCGGAGTACTCAGAGAAAATCAACTTTGTCAGGAAGGGGACCCCATAAGGCTGCTACATTGATTTCTATGTAAAGGGACACCACTACTGAATTAATTATTGAAATATAAATTAATTTTCTTGATTTTTCAAATGTGCATAACTTGAAAAATATTTGTTATATGTGAATAAAAGTTATATGAAAATTGTTAGTTATTGTCTCTAGTTTATATTAACGTTTTCAATTCTAAAGTTGCTTCAGTATTTACATGTACAGGTGGTAATAAAGGTCAGAAAAGGTGAAACTTTTAATTAATCATATTTAAGCACCAGAAAGATCATTTTAAAATTATTTTTGTCAGCAAATGTGATTGGCAAATGATAACAGAGATTATAAACTTCATTTATGACATAAGACGCTGTACATTTTTTACACAGAGATTCGCTAGTTTTCAGGTAGTCATTCAACATATTTACTGTCACAGTCGGCATATAGATATATCTTAGCTACGGTCTAGTTCATGATTAAATCATCGATAAATAGTTTGTAGAAATCTATTGGCTCAAAACGTATCAAAGTCAATGTTCAATTCGGCCTCACCTGCAGACGACATGTGCGCCTCGGTCCGCCGATATTTTCATGTTTGTGTAGGGCACAAAGCCGTTCATTGGAAAGTTACATATTATGTTACACCGAAGTATTTCCACATCAACCTTGTCAAACCCTTCAAAACCTTTATTATCATCATAAGTGACACTGGAGAATAAATGTTTACCATCATATTCATCACCTCAATCTACACGACCGCCATTTTTATGACGTTTTTTCCAATTTGAAATTCTCTCACACACCTTTGGTTATTACTAGGGTACATTGCCGGAAATATCGAAAGTAATGACAAGACAACCAATCAGAAGCCTTCTACTATAGGCGTTCGGGTTTGGTATTGCAACAATCCGCTTTCACACTTTCTGTTACTGATCAAAAACCTACAGACCGAGATCCACATATGCGGTGCGTAGCACTGACAACCTGACTTATCGAAACCATAAATGTGGCGTGTAGCAGCCTAAGGGTTAAGGTCTGTTCGGGGAATCAAGTCCCAGCTGTCTTGGCGAAAGGCAAGTGCACTTTCCAATGCACCCTCTGACCCACCTTACTTTAACCGAGTTTATTCAAAATTCCACACTAAAGTGAATTATTGTACATATACTAAACATGTGATGTCAGTTCAGATCCCTTACCTGGCCAGCACCATCCGTCATACTCTCCCCCATCTTTATTTTTCACAGACAGACCGTGGTTTTTACAATCTGCATACACACCATAGTTATCGTCTTTCTTCAGATGTGGGTCTACAATAGTGACCATTTTTCTGCCACGGGAGGCTACATTGTTGATCATGTCCTCTGAGTGAGAGAACTTGTCCTTCTCCCATGTGAAATATCTGGGAAAATAAATTAAGTGGTTTGATTCATTTTGGTTATGTTTAATTTTCACAAAATTCATATGAAAAAGGTATCAACTAATTTTAACAATTACATGGAAAAAGGAGAAGTGATCTTTCTGCTGTCATCAGCATCCTTCAGAAATAGTTACATTCAGACAGTAGGACTCATTAACAAAAAGCATACTCAATGATAACAGTCAATTAGAATCTAGCATGTACTTGTAACATCATGAAATATTTGAGGATCACACAAATGTAAGATTTTGGCATGGGTAAAGTGGCATATAGCCTCTATCAACCAACAGGCAAGACAAGTGAATTCAATGCATCTTCAAGTTTTCTATTAATTTAAAACTAATCGCATGTTTGTATAGCAGGTTTTAAATACTTGATATTTCTTACCTTTTACCATCAGTGTGTTCAATATCCAGCCAAATAACATCATACGGAATCTGGAACTTGTCCATGTTAGCATCAACACTGAAACATTCAACACATTAGAGGGTTACATGGAGGCTGGAATCTTCCTTCAATATTTGCCTTTCCGGCAGTGGAATGGTAACATTTTATACATAATTAACAGAAAATGGAAAACCAAAATTATCACAGTGTAAAATTCAATTACCTTTGAAAGCATGGCCCAGGTAATTAAATATATTTACTTTAAAATTGTGTTACAAAAATTGTGTAAATATCTATTTAAACAGCAAACATTTCCAGTCAATGCTTATTTCTTACTTTTTGACGTCATCTTGGTCATTATAGTTCCATCTGCACTGGTGGTAGGAAATAGCAAACAACTGTAAAATAAAACCAAGTACAACTATAAATAACTGTCAATGGAACACTCTTAAAAGTTGACAATATTACATGTCGTTTATAGACAATTGGTAGGAACTTACTTCCAATATTTGTGATTCTATTCCCTGAACAAATTTGCAAGATTTGAATTAAGAAACTTTGTTAATAGTTCACAGTACTAAATAAACATTTACTAAAAGAGTAACAATTTTCATTGGGTTAAAATTTTGGTTATTTTCTTTATAGAAAACCAAAACATCCCAACCTCCCCCTTAAAACTAACATCCCAACCTCCCCCTTAAAACTTAAGTGCTGTTTATAAACAGTACATAATATTTCAACAACACAATCTGCTGCAGAAAACTTTAAAACCTCTGTCAGGAAAGGATAAGTTTTAAGGTAAGCTTGATAGAAGGATATAAAATTCACAATCTAATACAAATACAGTGTAATAACCTCAATACCAGTATATATAGCTGGTTGACCTAGACTTTGCCGATGACATTGCCTTGCTGTCCCACAACCACCAACAAATGCAGGACAAACTAGCACAGGTTGAAAGGAGAGCTGCAGAAACAGGCCTATCTATCAACTACAAAAAGGCCAAAGTTTTAAAGTCAAACACAAGGACCCTAGCAAGTCTGATGGTTAACACCCGAGCTTTAGAAGAAGTGGATTCCTTTACATACCTTGGAAGCGTAGTGGACAACCTTGGTGGCTCAGATAGAGATGTAAAAACCAGAATTGGCAAAGCTAGAACTGCATTTAACATGATTTGGAAAGCAAGAAACATCACTGTAAAGACCAAAGTACGCTTGTTCAATTCCAATGTAAAAACCATACTCTTATATGGAGCTGAGACTTTGAAAACAACAAAAAACCTGCTTTAAAAACTTCAAGTCTTCATCAACAACTGTCTCAGGTGCATCCTTAACATCAGAAGACCTGAGAAGATATCAAACCAAGATCTGTGGGAAAAGACCAACCAATCCCCAGTTGATGATGAGTTGAAAAAGAGAAAGTGAAGATGGATAGGGCACACACTGAGGAAGCCAAATAACAGCATTACAAGGCAAGCCTTACAGTGGAACCCACAAGGAAAGCATGGCAGGGGCAGACCAAGATACACCTGGAGAAGAAACGATGCAGCCGACATGGAGAAAGAATTGTACAAGTGGCATGATCTGGAGAGGCTAGCTTAACACATAACAAGGCGGTGGAATATCGTTAGTGGCCTATGCTCCACCAAGGGGGCAAAAGGATTAAGCAAAGTAAGCAGTATATATAGTAATCGTTCAAAAATTGGTAAGGTCATAAGAGATTTAAAATTACTGTCTTGCCATGAAGAAAAGCCTTTGATAAGACATACAGGAGTCAATATATGAAAATATTCTGAACTTACTGGTGGCAGAGGAGTGGTTCCTGTGAGGACAGCATACTGTTTGAAGACCTGTTTAGGGGAGGGCCCCATCATGATAAACAGATCGATGATTCCACTCTCAGAGAACCAGTGAGTATCGGTCTGGGGAATGTCTGAACTCCCCTTCACGAGGTCAGCTACCTTGGACAAAAATGTCTGAAATCAAAACATTTTTTTTTCTATAATTTGCAAATATATTCTCATGTATGTTTCTTTCCTATTAGAAACCAGAAACATGTATTTGTTCCTTAAAATTCACACTTCACTTGTAAATACTAAATAACCTTTATACTAAAGACTCAGTTATGACGAGGTTTTCCAAAAAATATGATAATTTAAGATATGAAACCAAAGAAACTTGAGTTAAAGTTCAAATTCTTTGTAATATTTAGCTGATGTAGAAGTTATAAGAAGATAGAGTAAAACACAGAGAGATTTAGAGCCAGGACATCAAATGCTATTGACCAATGCAATTGACATGTAGAGAAAGTCCTTCTGATGTATGACAATCACAAACAAATGTCACATATTTATTGCACTGCAACTGTTCTCGGTTACCTTGTCTGCTACGTTTGAGCGAATATCAATCCAGGTCTCGGCAGCATTGTTCCAGTAGATCCCAACTGTTCTTTTCTCACTAAAACACAGCAAACAATCCAATCTCATAACACCAATGCTTTATATTACAGCAAAATGAAATATTTTCTGGATACAGCAGAATAAACTATCTAATTCACATTTAAAGGCAGCTCTTTATAGCAAAATAAACCATGTTCTTTAACATTCATGTCAATGCTAGTATGATATTCATCCTACTTCCAAGAAATGTTCCACACTTATAAACCTATAAATATCTTTTAGAAATGCTAATAATTGATTTATGATACAATGACATCTGCACTAAAATGCAGGTACTGATAAATCTAATTCAACTGATATATTTTATGCTCAAGTATTTCTGACATATTTCACCAAACTGCCAATTCCAAAAGGATGATCCTCCAACATCATGCAGACAGATATATATATATATTCTTGGAAACTTGATGGCATGTTGTATTCTCTACTATTTTGGTGGACTATTTTTTTTTATTTCTTCAAACATGTTTGTACTTATTGTGAGCTTTCCTTTTCCGTACATGTAATAGAATCAAATACCATAGGTCATACGGAAACACATCTGTACTTACTTGTGAGCGATCATGACTGGGACAGATCCGTAAAGAGCCATCGGGTTGTATAACTCGTACTCAAACACATCTAAATTGAACAGGCGGTAGGGATCTGTGTCTCTGCAAGCGGAAAGATAAGAATTGTTTATGATGTAGAATTTCATAAGAAACAATAGAATAGAAAAAAACAAGTTAATTATTTTTTCTTTCATTGTAACTTTAATTTTATGTCTCAGGTGTATAATTGTATTCATTACTGAACAAGTTTTTCTTTTTACAACATATTCTTAAAATAGTGATTTAATTATCAAAATGATCAGCAAATTACTGAATATGGTTCAGGCTACTAGAAATGCAAATATGGGGAGGGGAGCACTTTCAATTGATAATAAAGGAAGAGATAGGGTCTGAAAAAATTGTATTATATGAATAACTGGCACAAGGAAGGAATAATTCTTGGTGGTATGTATACAGTCTAACAAAACGTATTACTTGTTTATGCATGGTTTTACTTTCATTTCTGGAATAGCCCTCAAGACTATCATCATCAGAAAGTTTGAAATTTTTTACACCCTCTTGATGTATTACCATCCAGAAGGTTGGAAATTCAGTCACTATAGAGAAATAGCTGAGTAAATATAACTTGCTGTAAAATTCTCTGTACCACTAATGCTTACTTGGTTGATTTCAATGCAAGGGTTTCTGCATGTTCTGGTATACCATATACATGTTCAAAACCAGGGAATCCGATGTCCATTCCCACAGATGCTGGACCTATTTAAACAAGTAATATACAGAGCTAATTGATGTAATAAAAGTTTTACATAGTTTATATCGGTATGAAACCAAAATTGTAATCAAAATCTTGAAATGGAATACAAATAAGCAATACTATTTTTCCTTAGGAACATTTGCTTTTTTTTTTTTATGTTTGGTTTGTTTGTATTTTTCGTCCTATTAACAGCTATGGTCATTTAAGGACGTGCCAGGTTTTGGTGGTGGAGGAAAGCCGGAGTTCACGGAGAAAAACCACCGACCTACGGCCAGTACCTGGCGACTGCCCCATGTAAACCTTGAACCCGCGACCCAGTGGTGGAGGGCTAGTGGAAGCAGAATGTCAGACGCCTTAACAACTTGGCCACCGCGACCCCTTATTCTTTATGCATTCTTACATATTCCATTGATATACTACACATATAGAATGTCAAGCAGTTAGGATGTTTACTATCTACACCAGAGCACGTACCTGGTTATACTAATGAATATTTTCTACATACAATCAGTATAGAATCTATACAGTTTATGAAGAACTTGTTGTTACTCAGCTTATACCATGAGTAATGATGACATTAAACTGGATACATACAATTTTACTTGTAATTACTTTTCATTAAGAAATAGAAGGGGTTTGTGAAAGGTTGGATTTGTAATAATCATAACCCAAATTTTGTTGAAGGTGAAAATAATTGTGTTGTACCATTGGGTTTGCTGTCAGCGAATCCCTTGAAGGACTCCTCCCACATATCAGGTTCCTCAGACGGCTGATCTTGTGTTTCAGCTACAACTTCCTCCTCCTTCTTTTCTTCTGCATTCTCTCCCTCCTGCACAGTGGAAATAACACAATCACCTTTTCAACTTTTACTGACATGTGTGAAGGTGAGGTCCAATTGACATTTAAGGATTAACTTGAAAACACTTTTCATGTTATGGAGCTATAACACAAAAAAACGGAGCGTACTCTAAATAAACCGTGAAGCGTTTTATGATGAGTGTACACTCCGGTTTTTGTGTTATAGCTCCATAACATGAAAAATATATTCAAGTCAATCCTCATCATTTAATCTACTATACCCAATCCCTGTGGAAATCCACTTGTATTGATGGACTTGTTTCTCTTCAAAATTATTAGCCATTGTATCAGCCAATCAAAAGCGTCGTTACAAACAACGTCATTTTTTTATGTTATGGGCTGATAATATCAATTTTTAAGCCAATGGAATGCTTGTTACAAACAAGATTAAATTATTTCATGATAGTATATAAAATGATAATTAACTGTGAAAGTGATATTGACAGAGTATTTGACATCACAAGCAAATAGGGATGTGATATTGATTTACTTAATTTTTGACTTGTAGCATAAAGTTTCATTGAAATCTGTTATGAAATGAAGCCTTCTATGTGGTCACAAAATGTTCTATTAATGGTAATATTAATTGTGACCTTGGTCTTGACATTGGCAACCCTGAAACAAACTTAGTCTAGATGTTCTCAATCTTACACTTTGCATAAAGTTTGATGACAATTTGAAATTTTATACATGTATAAAATTTGATAAATTTCTGTTAAGCAATTGAATTGCAAGGTTAAGGCTGACAACACTTAATTGGTTGACAAAATTTAAGAAACATTTTCAGAGACCTTTGTCTTGACTTTGGCAACCTGAAGCATCAACTTATCCAAGGGACTTTTAGTCTTAACCTTTATATAAAATGTGATTGAAACATGTAACCTAATAAATAAAGTTGTTAGAGCAATGACAGGGAATCTATATTCCACTCTCACCCCCCAGCTGGCACAAAAACGAAAATTAAATGAAACACTGAAGTTCTTTTCACTAAAAATGTGTTTGATAATAACTATACCTCGCTTTCTTCTCCCTCAGCTTTTTCTTCATTGTCTGGCTCGGCAGGTTTTGGTTCTCTGAAAGGTTGGGAAAACCAAGAATATATCCCAGTACCAACGCTATGAAACCATCCCCTAAAAGAGTAGAAAAGGACCTGTTGCCCTTTGTTACGATTAAGTATACTAACGTGCAATATTAGTGCCAACACAACAAACAAGAAGCGAATAGGAAAAGCAGTGAAGTGAATTCACAAAGATTAGTCAACCATCATCACACAAACAATATACAACTGTCTTTACTGTAAGTCAGATAAACATGTACACGTACATGTATTACGTTATACAAAGCAGAAGATAGAAGCATTGTCTATACACCAAATAGGGAAATAAGATGTGTGTAAGTGGGGGTATAGTTGGGATCACTTCAAAATTCATGATTGATCGATGACTGATTTAAAGTAAAATCAATAGTAAAGCATTCACCAAAATTGGTAAAATAAAATATAGGATGGATACTTTTTAAGCACATAGCTATAGACAGAAATGTTATTTGAATGCAGTGTAGGAGTTAAACTGTTTAATCAATTTTTCAGGTCTCTGCTCCAAATCTAAAAAACTTTTGAAAGTTTTCAGGTGATAATAAAACCATGATCATTCATAGGGAATAAGATCATTACTCCTAGTCAGAGGTAAAATAACAAATCATTGATTAAATTGATTCATTGGAACCACACTAAATGTGGGAACAGTTTATATTATCAAAACACATATTAAGGGTTGTTAAGGCATATGCATATTTAACAGTAGAAGAAAGAAAAAGAGGAAATTAGGATTGGAAAGGAAAAAGTAAAGCAAAACAACATAGTAATGCCCCAGCATATTGCTAGACCTCTATCATGTACTGTATTTCTAAAATTTAATTCTGATATTTCTTCTTTGAAATATGTAAATAAAGAAAGTAAAGGTATATTCATTTGTCTGCTATTTAAATGACAAACATTCTTAAATTTTTTCCCAACTGGTTTCCCAAATGTCACATTGAGCTAAAATAAGATCAGACCAAATATACTAATTCAAGGACGTTTACTTTCATACTAAATGCCAGTACATGTACATTTACTTGCTAGATACCAGGACATTCACTGATTTACAAAGATTTACTTACGGCTTTGTGCGAAGATGTTCAAATTTAAGTAATCCTTGTGCATTGACGCCTACAACATGGTCTCCCTCAGCGAAGAAGTCCAAACGGAATGGCTTGCTTGTCAGTACTATCTTGTTGTTTTCAAGACTAAATGTCACACTCTGGTCACTCTTGTCAATAATTTTCAACCTATTAACATATTAATTGATACAGTAGTTAAATTTTATTTTTTATTTACAGTATCATGGTACTGTTCAATATAATTGTCCCAAATTAAAGCAAATCCAAAATTATGATAGCAAGAAAACTTTGGTTTAAAAAAAAAATATAACATGTTAATTAATAAGATGAAAATTCAACATTCTAACACTTAGAATCTTAATAACAACATTAATTTATCTACAATTGATAACTGGGCACTGTTATGGAATTCACAAGTCTGTTTGTTTATGATTTTACAGCCCATCTATAGAACAAGGTCATTTACACCTAGCCATTACACATTTAAATATTGATAATAAAAAACAATGATGAAAAAAATATTGATGTGGCTGGCATGTGTGGATAACGGAGAAAAAGAAAATAAGATTTTTGAAGAGAAAATGTGAAGACCATTTTGGATTTTGAGATATTTTATACCCCAAAATGGTTTCGTTTCGCCCCTCCAACCCAGCCCAAAGAGGGATATAAAATGGATACACAGGTAATATATGAATTAATTATCAGCCTCCATGAGCTTAGTTTTATTACAAAAAAGGTACATAAACAGAAAGAGTGCCAACATTTACTTACCCTTGTTGCTTGGGTTCGCCGACCAATGTGTCACCCAACGGAATCTCAAACCGTGGTTTGATAGGATTTAGCTCATTTATTTTCAATCTTGCAGTGTTTTCCTTTAAGCCATAAAGCTCTAGAAGTAGTCTTACATTATTGTGAGTATTCAATATTTGAACTTGTACACTTGTTGATTGTATTTTGAGCGATTCCATCAACACTACGTAAGGACTTTCTCCTGCAGCCACCGCCCTGTGCCGTCTGAAAATATCAAACACTTAATTAGTGAATCAATATGTGATTGTTATTCACTCAAGGCAGTAAGTCACTCGCTAAAAATCACCCACGCTTCAAAGTTCAAAAATATTTCATTGCTCAACTGTTAACTATCCAAAACTGGCCATTTGTTATTTCCCGATAACTTCCACAGTCAGATTATTCACCCAATGTTAATTTTGCCATTCATTGTATAAATGCCATGTTAAGTAATATAAGATGCACACAAACATTTTCCATCATGAATAAAAAGGCAAAGTTATTTTACTTCTGAATAATAGTTGTCAGTTTTGATGATAAAATACCATATAGATCAATGCAACCAATTTCTTACTTGCAAAATCCACTCTGATCACATGTCTTAAAATTGTCTCGGCTGACAGCGAATACATCAGATATCAGCAAACAACAGCATATTAGGTTAAATAGGGTGGCCATCCTGAAATGTATAAAGTAATCACTGTTATTCATTATAGATATAGCAATTATCATTACCTATTAATATTACACACATTTGAAATACCAAAGATCTCAATAGAAATTTCCATCATGTACATGTAAACAGTATGCTAATCTTGAATTCCTTTAAAACATCTTAATTTGTGCTGATGTTTCTTCAAAAACGTAGCTTTATACACTATACTTTAGTAAGAAATTGAAAAAAAAATATTAACAAGTTTCTGCAGGGTTATAAATTCTTCTTGAGGCAAACAATTTTTTGTTTTCCAGCGATTGGTTATAAAAAAAAAAAATGGTCAGTGCATTGTCATGCCTACTTACCCAAGGCTATTGCTTTTGAGATTTTTACATCATGCAGATTTCTACTAGCCCGTAGCCTGTATTAACCAGTAATGTAATGTATATATACTGGCCCTGGGAATATGGCTAGAGGAATTTTTATCATATATATATATACACCTGGAATGATTAATGTTTTTCGTATCCTGGAGAGAATTTAAATGTGTAAGGAAACAACTTATTCAGTTACTGGTGTTTTTATAACCAGCATTTTAGGTCGAATTTAGAAATATCGAAATACAATCTTAAAGATTAAATAAAAAAAAAAAAAAAAAAAAAAAAATCACTGAAAATTTGTGCTGGGCTTTCAGCAGTCTTTAATGTACTCCTGTCAAAAATGTTTTTTTCCTCCTTATGGTATATATATGTTCATACAGTATTCAAATTCAATGAAGGTGATCATGATATCATGACTAATTTGCTAGACGTGCTTGCGCATTTAAATTCTTCTAATCCACCACTACCTGATAACACTAGGATATGGTCAAACTAAATCACATGCCTTTGGAAAGCAGTTATCAAATGCATAATGCTTTCTATAGTGTTTTTATAAATTTTGCTGCATTAAGAAAGCACAGTGCAGCGGTTGTCAAAATTTAAAAGGGGTCACATAGTTGACATTTAAGTGAAAACAGACTCAGGATCATGTCAAAGAATAATTTGGCGTGTACATTTCCACCATACTGAGCGTCCATGCACTAGAAGAATTTGTGAGCAAGCAATGAGTGTTTACCCTCGTTTGATGGTGCATTGTCTTAATGCCATGTACAGCATCTGTTAATCTTCTTAAAAGTAACATCAACGGAAATGACTAAAACAACATATTGGGGATCAATTAGGTTCCCATTAAACAAAAAACATTCAAAATGATTTTTTTCAAATGTAATGTCAACTTTGCAGTATCATTGCGAATGAGGATCTTAGATTCTTTTACAGCTGTACTGTATGCGTACTATATATATGGGGAGACTTATCTGTCCATGTCATTCGAAAAGACTAATCACGATGTATTCACTTTCTACCTGATTATTTTTCACTCATTAAAGTAATTTTGTTAAAGCAATTGAAAACAAGTAATTAAATGTTAAAAATTGATTATTGTGATTCGTGAATAGCCTTCCTAATGACGTAGCTTGATAGTAGTGTAACTGTAGCACGGCTACGGGAATGATAAAAAAAATACCCATGATCATCACAAAGTCAACACAATATTTGCATCGAAAAGGGTAATTTTTTCAATGAACTCATATTCCTTGTCTGCAAGACTTATTTTCTCACTCATTAGATTATTGTTCAAGCAATTGAAAACAAGTCATTAACTGTTAAAAAAATAAATATTGTGAACAAAGAGTAATGCAGTTTTGTTCTGTACTGTATAACTGAAATTAAACACTAACTGTTAGTGCCAATAATATGTAAAAAATAACAATTTTCAAAGTTGATACCTGCAAACTAGTTCACTCATTTATCTATGTAATCTTTTTTTTATTCATTCAGAATTAAGAGAGGGAATAAGAAATATTTATGGTTCTCCTAAGAATTCGAAAACATTCAAGAAACTATTTCGGGACATTTGAGAGAACCAATTTTAACTTTAAGTCATGTTTTGGGGGGGCCGGAGTGGTAGAGTAGTAGAAAAAATATAGCATGGTTATTGTAAATCGCTTGTACAATCAAGAATTTGTATCCATTTCATAAATTTCCCTTAGTTTCAGTTGCATAACGGACATCGGTTTATCATGAACATTTATTTATCATTCAATCAGCCAACCAAATGCTACCACGACACAAAACCTGACAGAAGAGTTCCGATTGATTTGTTCCGACAAAGCCGGTAAAAATGCCACGTTATTTAACGACATAACAACACAAAATTACTACTTCTTCTCCCGTGAATGCAAGTAGTGCATCAAAAGCACTGTTCGGGTAATAAATGGTTTAATTAAATCGTGTCTATGTCTATCTAAAACTATCTATGTGCAGGAAACTTACCACGACGAAGTTTGCGTGGTCTTCGCCATCTTTGGTAAATATAGCGTTAGTTTCGAATTTAAGTAAAAATGTGTCAGCAAAAGGTTAGTTAACGTTTGTAATTGATACAAATCATATTCCAAAATTGGAAACATGAAGTATGATATATTGACAAGGAAAAACGAATACATTATGATATAATACGAAAATAAATCAACCAGTGTATTGTGGTTAGCCTAACGTCGAACGAGTGGTTCGAATCGAAGCTCAGTAAGGACGGATTTTTAAAAACATTTTTTCTTTGTCTCACAGTCTTCTTTTTTATTCCATAAAATATATCATTCCCTAACATATCTCTAACATCTCCTAACATATTTACTTACCCAAACTCTGACAATTACCTCTATGGTATGACAACAAAATAATACCAAAATGTTAACAAAACCATAATTCGATCTCCAAATCGTTAAAACTAGGGAAAATAGAAAAAAATGGAAAGATTTACACGAAGACCATTGAAAAAATACATGGATAATAAGACCAGGTGTTCCGGAAGGATAAGCCTTCTGATTCATCGATGTCACGCGACATGTAAATCTAAGTCGAATCCAAGTATTGTCATGATGTCCTCACATCCAGAATTCGGGGAGTGACAACAAAACCACACAGGGTTTTCTATTTGACATGAACTGTCTTCAAATAACTTCAGCTGTTTTGAGAATATGAAGAAAACAATCTTGCTACCAGGTACCTTTAATCTAGTTAAAATTTGACAATCGTTTCCATGACTTTGTTTCCACTTTTGAATTTTAACATATAACATGATTTAGAAACTATTAACTATGTATTGGGTCATTGGTGGCAGAAAACTTCTTTCTGAATTAGGCGTTGGACATATTGATTGGTACCACATGTGGTCCAAGAAACGTTTACACTTCCGGGTCACATGGTTTACTTACGTTTTTAAAGTATTTCGTTCTGATGTTGCTATATTTTGTATAACCATTGGGGGTGTAAAATAAAAGTAATTTCAGTAAGATAACAAGTGTATGCACGTTGAATATTGACGAAGAAGACGTGATACAAAAATGAATGACAATGACACTTTTGAGTATCTGTACATTTTTAACATTTCGGAATGATGTTAAGACCCAATAAAACAGGAAATCGATGAATGCAGAGTACCGTCTGACCTTTAAATGTAGGTATGTAAAAGATGTTCTATAGGTTATTAATGCTTTTCATAAATGAGACAATGTGGCGATTTTAACTTTAGAAAATATATCCAGTATATTCGAAGATAAATGTTTACAATATCATTCATAAGATACTAATAACTAAAAAAACACACACTATAACCTATTACGCCCAAGATTCACAAGCCAGACTTCTATCCATTATATCCTATTGTGGATTACACTGGTCCCATTGGCTACAGTGTATCAAGATGGCTTGTAGACATCATGGGTCAACTGGTGGGAAAAACAGAACACCACGTTTGGTAATTTCGTTTAACGTCCTTATATTAACAGCTAATGCCATTTAAGGACGTGCCTCCATGTGTGTAGTGTATACATGCTTGCGTGTGTGTATGCAGGAGACAGGGTATGTTGGCGTGGCTTGCCTCCTTGTGTTAACGCGGATCTGATGACGACTTTGTAGTGCTATCTCACTGAAATACCATGCCGAAGGCACCCAGCACAGCATTTCTTCCGGTCACATTATACTGACAACGGGTGAACCAGTTGTTGCCACTCCCTTAAACTCTGAACGTTAAGCAGGGAATAACAACTACCCTTTTTAAGGACTTTGGTATGTCCCGGCCTGGGGACAGAACCCATTGCCTTCCTCACCTGGGTGAACGCTCAACAAAAGATAAAGATCCCAACTATTGCAATGGGTGAAGCATATTAATTTTTGTCGCTTTTGTGTCCCCAAATAGAGGACACCAAAGCAAATCACCAATTCTGCAGAAGGGCATTCCCTCATTAGTCGCCTCCTACGGTACATGCAGTGGGTAACAGCAGGTGTATTCTTTCTCGATCCCCCACCTGCAGGGGCGAGATCACCACGTAAAAAACTCGAGAGATTTGACGTCGGATCTGGCTGACACAATAGTTGAAGAGGAAGACAGGTTTAGCTCACATGACATACAGTCGCTCTAATTACTAATACATCAGAGGACGAGACTGCAAAGGTCATAAGGGATAGGTTAAAGGTTAACAGAACAATGAGGATGATAACAAGCCTTCCTGTTGACAACTTCATTGAGTTGTTGGAGTTTATACTCAACACCACTCATTTCTCTATCAGGGGCACAATTTAGCAGCAAAAGTTTGGGGCACAATTGGGAGCCAAGCATCAACCATTGCTGCTAATCTATTTATGGAACATCTGGAGCAGAAAGCCATCACAACTGATCCGATGGAGTATCGTCCTAATCTATGGAAAAGGTATGTTAACGGTATCTTAGAAGTAGGCAAGAAAGTTGATGTCAACTACCTATCAACTCACTTAATCCAGCCTGCAGCTCCGTACAATTGACATCAGAAGAATAGGGAGACGGAAACAATTCTTTTTCATGATACCCTTATCGTAAAAAGAGCTGACGGATGCATCAAACTGCTGGGTTACAGAAAAAACACCACCACACAGACCAGTACCTCAACTCAATTCACACCATCAATTGCATTAGAAGTTGGGGGTACTCGCACTCTCCTGGACAGATGTATAAATATCATAACTGAACAGGAAGACAAGAAAAATGAAAAGCGACGCATCAAACAGGCCCTGGCAACATGTGGATATACGAAAAATAGAAAAATAAATGGGAAATAAAAGCAATTCAAATGGCCACAATAAACAAAAACGTACAAACACAGAGAGAAAAACTAACGGCATGGTCACTATCCCATACATAAAAAGGGTGTCTAAAGCACTTTCAAGAGTGTGGTGCAAACATCACACCAGCACGCCCATGCGACCCCATTACACCACCAAACAACTATTAGTTCAACCGAAAGACAAATTACTGAAGGAAGACAAAACAGGGGTGGTTTACCAAATCCCATATTGCAGCTGCAACCTTACATACATCGGAGAAACTGGCTTAGATTTGGGACACGCCTCAAAGAACATGATACAGACGTTAAAGCCTTGGAAATATACACTATAAATACGAAGAATACATCGGAGAGACAAAGCAATAAATCAGTCATTACAGACCATGCTAACACACACAACCACGTCATAGACAGGAACAACTCGAAAGTGCTTGCAAGGGAGAACAACTGGAAAGTTAGGAAAATCAAGGAATCCATCTGGGTTAGGAGGGAAGGGGATTCGATGAACAGAGACGAAGGGGGCCAACAGCTGAGTCATCTGTATGACCCAATGTTAACATCCAATAAGGGAAGGAAGGGCAATATGTTACTCGTCCCCTTACTGCCTGAAGTATCAGAGTGCAATTAGGCGAAATGTCTCTATGATTTTTGACAGATGACTTTACTGTTTCGGCACACTGTGGCTCAGTGAGTTGTTTTCAGCGGATTAAGGTCGAGACAAAGGGCATTTGACTCTTTGCTTGACAAAGGAAACAGGTGTTTTCGAAAACTAACAAAATAAGTTTTCAGTTTTCAATTCCAGTTTGTGTTCAAAACAAACGTATCCTTTAATAGCTTTTATCACAATTATTAAGCTGCACAACAATAACTATATTCCCCCTATCCCCATACCAAGCTGTATAGCAATAGCTGTACATTTTGTATTCCTGTATACCATGCATTGTTTATTTTTTCGCGATCAACGTCCCTTCGCCAATCAGCACGGAAACACATCTCTCGCGAAATAAGTGTTATTGACACTAGCCCATGTTCTAGCTATGTTCATTCAATTTCATTTAAGGTAAATACACAAGTGTTAGAATGATGGAACATAAAAGTACAAACTTCTTAAAGACATTTGTTATCAATACTTTCCACAGAGATAGAGACATGTTGGGCACTATGCCCAGAAGGAGAATGTTGATAAAACATATACACAATGCACTTGTGCATTGATCCAATGCAGGACGAATCCCATTGAAAATGATAAACAGCACTGCCATACAGGGTTTCAGACTCTACAAGGCCATGCAAACATGGTCGCCGTAACAAAGCCATGTCCTACACCTGCACTGGCGTTTGTCATATGACAACTGACAAAGCGAATACAAAGGTTTGCAAGGCAAAAATTTAATAATTTTGATAAATTACATATTCGTTCGGAAACGCCTCAATAACGCATTGTGGAGCGCTTGCACATGATTCCTTTTCAGTAAAACAAAACGCTCCCGACTTTAACATTAACACTTCGACATTAAACAAATCTATTAACTCCAACCTACTATACTGACATCATTGATTCACATTGATGTTATGTCTGTGGACTTTGCTTTGGGCTAGGCATCTCTTTGGTTTCAAACTTTGTATCAGACGAGATATTAAAACTGGTCCGTTTAGATCAATGAGGTTTTTGTCGTGCAGTTAATAAATAGTCCTTTATGCTTTGACGTTTGTATTACAAAACCAATATCCTGATTGCGTAACCATTTGTATGCTGGTGACAGACTGCCTAAACTGTATCTCTAACGAACCTATTGACTTCGCGAGGACGGTTCGGAAAGTACTTGACTACCAAAGATAATCAGTATATAAGTATATAAGAACATATTAATAGAAGACGTTAGCACTTGCTATGATTATATGCATTCGCTTGTTACTGACTCAGCTAGGTTAAATATTGATACCCTGTACTAGAAACATATATTGAAAACCGCATTACCAGCACAGAACATTTCAATGCAATCTGTTAGGGTTTTTAAAACGTTCATGCAAACATTTTACATAAAACTACATTTTTAATAACTTTGTACACCACACTAGTCAGCAGCAGACTTGAGTACCGTTCTGCCATTTGGTTCCCCCAATCAGTCCACTGTTATTAAGCATTTGAAATTGTCCAGAGATTTTTTGTTTGTTTATGTTTTAAAGCCAATATGAATTTTGATGATCTATC